CGGGCGGCTGCGAGCGGCGCCGGGCTGCCCGCACTCCTCCGAGCGGCGGGGATCGGGTCCGCGCTCTGCGGAACCGGGCCCTGGAGCAGCGCATCCCGTGGAGCACATAATGTGAGAGAGTCGTGGCGTGAATCTGTAGCGACGTGCCCGAAAGCCGGGGCCGAGCGTGCTGTGAGGCTCAGGGCGAGTGAAGCGGGGGCTGTTCCCTGCCGTCCCTCGGAGCATCATTTCCCTCGGCCGCGCTATCGCTCCACCAGACCGTGAAACCGCACGTTTGCCACGCCGCACGCCGCCGTGTCCCCGCACACAACTACAGTGGCGATATTTCGGTAGTCTGGACAGGATTTAGGAGCCACGGTTCCCCAAGTTAGACTTTTAAATCTCTGTGTGGGCATCCGTGTAGAAGTGGCCTGGTTTTCAAGGTGCACCTGCAGCTCCAAGCGACTCTTATTGCTCAGGGGGCACCTGAATGTGGTGTGTGGCTTTAGAAGCCTAACTTTGGACTTGCAATATGTATTTCATGTAGGTACTCTATCAGAGTTGTGTGCTCACGTTCAGGCTGCTCTTGTACATTCTCTCCTGCAGTGTGCAGCAGGCAAATATAACTTCTTGCTATTGTTTCTCCTCAAAATTAATTCTGAAATATCTTTCTCCTTTTTTTCCTTTTTTGTTTTTCTCCTGTTGTAGGTGGACTTTTCATGAGAAACACTGTTCAGGAGCACAGTGCATTTCGATTTGCTGTGCAGCTATATAACACAAACCAAAATACCACAGAAAAGCCCTTCCATTTGAACTATCACGTAGATCACTTGGACTCTTCCAACAGTTTTTCAGTGACAAATGCTTGTAAGTAAACACCTGGTTTTAAAAAATATATTCATTTGTTACCTTGCATTCAGTTCCTTCCTGGTAGCCCAGAGTTCCTGGTCATTCAGTATAGTGGAATAAATGTGTGTAGTGACTGGAGGTTTAGTAGATTTGCAGCATTTTACGGAATACCTTAGGTAAAGTTCTCTTGTTACTTCATCCCCTTAGTTTTGTTTTTCAGGAAAACAACCATGTTGTTGATATAGCAGTGCTGTGGAGCTGCAATCAGTGAATTGCTGCTGAAGTAAGATCCCTTTTCTGTTGAGGCTACAACCTAGCTGTGTGAAAAGGCGTAATTTGCAAATAATATACTATGTAGGGAAAAACCAGAAACAACTGTTTAGAAGTGACCTTGAGGGGAGAAGGCTAGAGGGTCTTACTTGCCTCATCTGCCTTGAAGTACTGAATTGTTTTCTTACAGCAAGAGTCCTGTGAAAAGCTGAGGAGACTGTAAACTGACACATACTGTTAGAGCTGAGGGGAGAGAAAATGGAATCAGAGCACTTGGCGTTAGGAGAAACAGCACTGCACAAGGAGTGCATGCATAGAATTTGAGCTTTTATTAACAGGAGATGCAAAATAGAACTTCGCGTATTGCTAATGTGGTGTTAAAACGCAAAATCTCTTTAGAAAGACTCGTGCGTGTTCTGCATTTTAAAAAGCATTCCTTTACCAATAGTAGTTCCTGGATATTTGTTTTACTGATGTATCCAAATTCAATTCTATACAAGTTTTATTGTAAATCTTTGAAAATGAAAGGAGTCCTCTTCCAAGGTAACTAATGCACTTTGCAACATGTAGATATATGTCTGTATATGATCTGATGGACCACTGAATACAATGTATTAACTTTACATTATGAACAGGTTTCCTCTCACAGTTTGCAGGTTTATATTCACACTATAAAATGGTCAAAGAGGAAGCGTTGTACTGAAATAATGAAGTACTGGAGTACAGAAAATTAGTAATTTTTGCTTTAAATATTATTAAGTTATTGTCTTGAATGACTTCTTTATTTTTTATTTGCAGGAGGTAGGATAGTTCTTACATTCCAGTCCCACTGTATATTGTGAGAAAGTTGATGGTTAAAAAATATACAGAAAGGAAATATTTGGACAAATTTTGGATTTATATTCTAACATATCCCCCATGTGACTGCTTCTTGGTAGTGCAGCATACTCTCCAAAGGACTTTGAAGTAGGAGCTTTAAAACTTTTGCAGGGGTGTTAATTGTGTAGTATACAATAAAAATATTTGGTAAAGTGGGAAAAAATGGTAAATAAATGTCTCTACTTTGCATCTTATTTTACTAATCCTATCCAGCCTCAACAGTTCTTACAACAAACATCAGACTATTAATCCTTAATCAGCGTAATCCCTTCAAGAGGCTATATCTCAAACACAGTTTTCTAAATATCAATTATATGGATTTAAACTAATTATGTTGAACTGCTTGGGTGATTAATTATTAATTGTTTTTTTTAAGTTGTTACCAGTGCTTCTTCCACCAGGATAAGTGATCCACACATTTGTTTAGGGGCGGTCAGTATATTTAGTCAGTGTTCTACTCATCTTCTGACATTATAATGATTTTTGTCAATGCTTATTAAAAGCTATGTCAATTTTAGTAAAGTGGGGTGGTTTTCTGTAGTACAGGGCTTCATGTTCCAACACCTGTATTACGAGTACAGTAAAATTGGGAAAACTTAAATCTCTGGAGAAACTGTAGACCAAAGATTATGTACCTAGAGTAACCTATTTAAAAGCAGATGTGAAAAAAGAAACAGACAAAAAAAATGAAAAGGTGACCTTGTCTGTGCTGTGTTAACCATCTCATAGTACTGTTGATAAGAAAAGAATATGATGAGTCCAAGTCACCAGTCATAGGCTTCAGTTGCTCAAAATATAAAAAAACCCATCAGAACAGTTGTTCTTTTGAATTTGGTACTAATCATCTTTGAAAGTCAGAACACTTATGTGTATCAATGCACTAGGATGAATTAAGAGCTCCTCACACTACCTGACCAAAATTCCAGCCTTTAACCTTATCCTCATTTCCTAGGGGAGTGGCAGATAATTTCAGTGTGCTGCCATATCCATGAAGGAATTCTTTCCACAACAATTTTACCTCACTTGGAGATAAGCATATATTGTCTCCAGTGCTGTCACACAGTCATTTGATCAATATTTGCAATTGGCAGTGTTCCATAGGAAAGAATCCTGCAGTGACTCTGCCTTCACTGGGGAGGGAGGCTGGAGCTGACTTTGTGGTGGGATAGGTACAGGAGCTAAGAGGAAATTGAAGAAAGAAGCATGTGTAGCCTGAGCCTAATGCCTGTACTAGTCAGTATCCTTGAAATAATATTTTTCATTCTCTTTTGCATTGATTTGTATGATAGTGACTGTAGTAAGTGTGCCTGTGTACCGGGATTGGGGGGGGCTCTGCTCAGAAAGACTTACGTTCTTACTGTGCAGCTGCACATCCCGCTTGATGCAATCTGGTGCATTCCAGAGGAGAAAAAAACCTCTTCTGAAGTATTCTCATGAGCCTGAGAAAAATAGCCTACCTCTGCTACGGCAGATTTGGCAATATCCCAACATGGGAACAAACTTGTTTAGAAGCAAAAGAAAATTCCTTCCCTAAGCCCCTCCCTCTCATTCCTTTTTCAGTTAAATGATGCATAATCTGATTTATGTACATGTATTGCCTGCTTCACCACTAGCACCAAGCCCCTGTCTGTATATTTAATTTACACACATTTGTACAATATTTATCCGCTCTGTATTTTTCTGCCCACTTATTTATTTAGCTGTATGATATCTTAACAGAGAACAAATGCAAACACAGATGAAAATTCCAGTGTATTTAAAGGTGAATTTGAAGTTTATCGGTTGGCTCTAGGGAAATTATTACATTTCTTAAAATATGCAGCTTTTTGCTATCAGTAGAAGCAGAAAACAAGATAACTTGACGTATGAATGTATAAAATCAAAATCAGGTTCTATTTTCTTTAAAAATGCTCATGTAGAGAGTTAGCTAGCTTTTTCAGAATAACATGAATATAACAAGTCAAATATATATATTTGTCACTGAAGCTATATCTTCCATGCATTTCTCATAATCTGATGAAGGATCTTTGTGTTAATGTTGAATGTGTGTTCTGTAAATTACATTCCCTAGAAATAACACGTCTGTCGGTCTGCTCTGCACTTGTAGTGCACTATACTAACACTGCTCCAGCCTCTGCAGTGTCAGCTCATTAGCACACAGATCTCATATTCCCTCTCTGCACTGTCATTGCAAAAAATTGCTGTTGTACACCTTTACAGCCAACAAATGTGTGGTTGCCTTATGTACAATTTTCAAGAAATATTTAGAAAAGTAAACTAAACCTTATGTATAGTCTCCCTTGAATTTTTAAAAGAAAGCATTTTTTAATGGAAAGCATAGTTTTCATTAAAATCTGTTGATCATGTAATGATAGTGGTGGGATGTGTGCAGATGAAAAGGGGCTGTGATTGTAGAATATAATTAATCTAGAGACAGATTCCATCTCTCAGCTAAACCTAACTAATCTGCTCCATTAATTTTTCTGAGATTTTTCTTATGTGTCTTCTAAATCCAGAAAGCTTTTTGGTTTTTAGCAAATATATGTGTAGTGGTTTAGGGTTTTTTGTGAGCATTCATTTTTCAAGAGATCAAAAAAAGAAGGAAGATGCAAAGACATGCTAACCTTAGGTTGCTAAAATCCTGTAGGTGGTTGTATCAGCATTTTCTTGAAGGGGTCTGATTTCAGACTTAAAAAATTTACTTTAGCATCCTTGCTGTCCTTGTGTTTAATCTTAAAATTTCAACTTGGAAGATTTTAATGGAAAAAGTGCATGTTCATTGTTGTGAGAGTATTGCAGAAAATGCTATCTCAGACTAGTAGCAGACAGTTTTTAACAGTTTAACTGAGCTACTCCCTTTCCCAAGGCACAGGTGTGGGGGTGTGTGCTCACGTGCACCCTCACTTGCACTTGAGCACACGTGCACACACGTTTTCTTTAGGTTCTGTTCAGCATTTCTTTTTGCCAGTGGGCAGATAATTTGCTTCCCTTGCATCTGTGTGCTCTTTGGCCAGCTGGCAAAGGACACTGATGCTGCAAGTGGTCAGCTCCCTCCTGCCAAAAGCATAAGCATGTGTTGCTGAAAGCATTGCCAAGTTTGGGCCATGTACTGGTGGTTTTGTGGGAGCAGTGAGCACAGGGGAGATGCCTGAACTCCCCCAGTATGGAATATACTCTGGTTTCTCCAGTTTTCTGTGGTAAAACACCTGGAAATGTGCTTTCTACACAACTCCACTCATTACAGACTTCTGAAATTGCCTTTTATGCTGCAAAATGTGCTCAAGTATCGTGTGTAACTGCTGTATGACCAAGAAAAGCAGCTGGTTTCAGTTTAGGGGTCAAAGCTTTTGCATTATTTGGTCTATGTTGAAACATGAAAGGTGTGTTCCAGCTAACGTTTGTTTCCACTTCATGGCAGAGCAGATGATTTGTTATTAAACTTAATGTGATCTCAGTGTTAGCAGAAGGAATCATACCACTTTCAAACTGTGTTTTATTGTTTCTTAAATTAATTTCAGAATAAGCTTACTCTCTTTCCTCTGCTGAATACATAACATTGATATACTGTTTAGATGTTAGGGTTCCATTTAACTCATAAAATAGAGGTGGAAAAAATATCTTGCATGGATGGAAACGTTTTTGAGAAACTCTGGGTTCACCAAATGAATAAAGAGTAAAGCATGGTAAAAAGTGCCATTTACTTGTTTAGTTTTGGAAATATTTTCTGCAGATGCAGATATGAAATTGTTCAGTTTTCCTGTATAACACTGGGATTGGAGGACCCACGGGGCTATTAGGATGAGTTGGAGAGCTACTGATTAACTACAGTAGCTCCATGAAATGTAGAACAGCTGTAGTTTATCCCTGGA